GGCAAGCTGAAAAGTTTGCTTGGCCACGGTGGGAATCGAACCCGCGACCTTTGGTAATGCCCTGCCAACTGAGCTACGCGGTCAAGTTGGTTCGAGTTGATGATATTTCGGAACTGAGTCTAGTTCCTTCGATATCAGTGTATTCTAAGATATGATATTTGGGCCACCGAGAATTCGGTGGCCCAAAGGTCGCGGGTTCGATTCCCACCGTGGCCAAGCAAACTTTTCAGCTTCCGGTGTGGATGCACACTCAGAGTAACATCACAAACATCATATAGGCCTAAGGAGAATTTCGACGTTTCGAAACGTCGAAATTCTCCGGATATATTTTCAGGTAGTTGCATCCCACCAACGAAAGCTTGTTCATTTTATTGGCACTACCTACACTGGCTAAGACAGTTCAAGATGTTTACAGTACAGCATACTGCTTGTGAAATTGGCGAAAACGTACATCACTCGAAAAAAGCAAAACGCATACTGCAAGAATCACGGTCAAAAACTTTATTCCTAAAACAAGTTGTAATTCATGTTTACATGTTTTATTATTCGAACTACAATTTTAGCAGTACTCTTCAAACTGGTAATGAAAATAAAACGAAATATAAAATAATGATGCGTAGCTTATATTGTTCTAATTGCCGTATAGTTGCGCCTTTTCTATTTGTCAATGTTCTGTTGCATGCGAGTCGTTTCCTAGGGAATGATTCATACTTCGACATTGCTGATGTTGTATTGCTGCTTTTACACTGTTTCATTCTTGGATGGTTCATCAAAGTTTTCCACAAGATCTAAAAAAGTAATCGTTTACTCACAAGCAATATTTCAAATGCAGCCCTTGAAATGATTGTAATTTTAGTTGTTAACAAGTCTTATTACGAAACTCACCGAACTGTGGAAACGCATAAAAAATTCGTATCGCCACCACTCCCACAAACGTCTACGAATATTTTTGCCACGTTCACAATTCTAATTTTAAACAGCCAATCGACGTTTAATCGTAATTGGCTGTTTAAAATTAGAATTGTATTAAACATGCAAAAATATGCACATGCTGTCGTAGACGTTCGTGGGAGTGGCGGCGATACGAATTTTTTATGGATTCCACAGTTCTGTGATTTCCGTAATATTTTGCAAGTCCACATCAGGTCACAAGTCATTTAGACTTAGTCCAAGTCTAACCTGAGTATCAGGCCCTCGATATTGAAAGAGGGCCTGACACAATTCGCCTCAAAAGCCATGTTCAACATCCAGAATCTGGATGTTATGCTGATTGGCTAAGAGACGATAAAACGCATCATGTGATTCAAACCGGAAATATATGACCGGCGTATGTAAACACCAAAAATAGAATTTGTAATTTTGTCAATATACTGTTAAAAGTGCTTTATTTCTAAAATTTATTTTCAATTAATTAAGCCTAAAAATGACAAAATAAGTACGAAAAGACGTTGAAAACGCTTTTGCAGCAACATTTTACTCGGTATAAAACTAAAACTACATAGTCATAGTAGAAAGCGTGTCTAAATATCTCGCCGTAATAGTCGCCGTAGAACGAAATATGTGGATGTCGGAAATTTTCAAATATTTAGTTCCAAAAAGCTGAAGCCTTATTTATCAGTTTATTGCCGAGCTGTTTTCCAAGACCTGCAAGGATATAGTAGTCAGCTCGCTCGAACTAATATGCCAACATCAGGCAGAAATTGAAGACAATAGCCGCTGTGTCAGACGCAGTTGAAGCGAATAGCTGTCTCGAACAAACTATTAACATGACACGAGGACCGAGGAAGAAGAAATCCTATTCAGAGCGCCGAATGTTGTCTCTTTAGACTTCTGGAAAAAGCCATCGAGCTATGGTTCCCCGAATAAGGCATAGTTTACGCTTAGAATTCCATCATGTGGATATTTCGACAAAAACATACCGATTTTTCTCCGTATTTATTCAAATTTATACAAAACTGCAAATAACGAAATTTGCGTATTTACATGCCTGTAGCGGACAACCGGAAATATGCTACAACCGGAAATAATTTTAATTGGCTGATATTCTGGGGGCGGAAAGCCCGTAGAGGCGAATTGTGTCAGGCTCTCTTCAATACCGAGAGCCTGATACTCAGGTTAACTTATATATAGCAATCTATATTTTGGTTTTCCTTTGATTAACTTTTATAGAATAATTTGTAGGGGCTTGTGAAGCAAAAAGTTAAAAAAAAAAGATAGAAGCTTTCAGGAAGGCATTTGATAACATTGGTCAGCTTAGGTCATTCCTGCCCAACGTTTCCCTTGTTGCCCTGACAGCAACTGCAGACAAAGTTGTGAAAAACAATCTGAATAAAGCATTATTCATGCAACATCCACGGAGGATTAACATGTCCCCAAACAAAGATAACATTCGTAATTCAGTGACAAAAATTGAGTCATTATCTAAATTTAATTGGCTAATAAATGAGTTGGTGGAGAAAAGGAAGGCAACTCCATTTACCATTATCTTTTGCAATACACTGCATGACCTTGCACATCTGTTAACTTTTTTCTTAATGTCACTGGGTAAAGAAATATATATTGAGGGAGATGGCTCAATATCTGAGAACTGCCTTCTTGGTGTTTTTTATTCAGGAGTATTTCAAGAAATGAAGGGCACAATAAACACATCCTTTAAGGATCTCCAAGGTGCAACACGTGTAGTATTTGCAACTTCCTCATTGGGTATGGATGCAAACTACCCTAAGGTGGAATATATTATCCATTATGGTCCAGCTGGGAGTATTGTTAGTCAACTTCAGGAGGCATGTAGAGCAGGAAGAAATGGAATACAAGCACACAACATTATTTATTACGAAGGAAGACATTTAATTCATTGTGACAAATTAGTCAAGACAACTTTAAAATCTAATTCGTGTTTACGTGTTGCTATGTACAGTGCGTTTGATGAGAACATAGACCTTTACTACCATTACATTTGTGTTGCTCAAATTGTTACAAACATTGTGACTGTGGTGATTGCCCAGTGTTTGAGTTTGAAGAATTCTGTGAGAAGCAAGTAGATGACAGTAGTCCATTGGAACTCGAGTAGTGTCTGATGAAGATAGATCAGATTTTGAGAAAGCACTTCATGAGTTGCAGAATACTTTGGCAAGTTCTGGATTTAATTTGTTTGACTGTTTTGGACAGATCAGTCATGGCTTTAGCTCACAGTTGATAACTGACAATTTACTCAAAGTTTATACCGTAGTACACATACATGCCCATGCAGTGCATGGTACATTTACAGTATCATGGAACTCTGACTTCTCATTAAATTGACAGGTGTAAACACCTCATAGAGTTTTAAAACCTGTTTATGGACTGTGGTATGCAGTGATGGAAGTGAAAGAATTGGCATTTAAGGTAAATAAATTGTCAGCTAGCTAGCTATCATAAACGTGTACCATGTAAATCATGTACCACCATAACCATGCTTGAAATCTAACCCACCAAACTGGCAAACAAATATCTCAAATAGTGATAACTATAAATCTTATAGTTTCAATAAAAAATAGAATTTACTTTCAAAGCAAACAGATAGAAAAAAGTTTAATCCATATACATTTGTATAACTATACTGACTTACTTTACTAAAATTAGATGACAGTTCCTTTACTTTAACTGAACTAATATTAAATAATTAAATTCCTTTTATCCAAAACCTCAGAGACCTGTTCTTGTTCGGCTGGGAATTGAGCCCGCAATACCATGGCACGTCTGGTTTAGCTTCTAACTTGTACTACTTCGTGTAAGGAAGCATAATAATTGTTATGGCGGGCCTTGCCCACATTTTATATAAACAACCTGTACCGTAGATCTTTCTGTGGTGCGTTCATTGCTCTGTATCTTTTGCGATGATACCTAATTATGAGATGTCGATCATCGTAGCTTCGTCGAAAAGTAAGTACTTTTATTTTACAAACTACAAAGTCGTATTTTGAACATACTATAGATGACTTTCTTTATTTATAGATGGGACTATTCCATATACAGTAACATGTACCGGTGGTATAACCCCCCTATCGAGTTCAAGGTTTTACTATATGTACCCCTGAAAAATTCCTACTGTAACAAAGTATGTCCCATCATGGTTTCCTGTTAATAGCAGTTACCACTTTAAAAATAATTCAGCATTTACCTATAGAATGTGATATAATGCCTCATAGAGACTCAAAAAGGATCGTGCACTGATTTATACTATATCTTATATATCCCCGGGCGTTCTCACACGCTCCCGGGCGCTTCAGGGCGTCCCCAGGCACTCCTGGGCGTCCCCGGGCACTCCTGGGCGTCCCCGGGCGCTCCGGGCAGTATTTAGTACTCGTGACCGATTATATATATATATATATATGTTCAAAGAGCTACAAAATAAATTGTAGTTGTAACACAGGAATAATGTAACTTGAAACGCTCTCCGTGTTTAAACAATAACATATACATACCCTTTTCTAGATATATACAAACAAATTTCAAAACATGAAACAACAAAATCCATTATATAATCCTTCCCCTCGCCAGCTCTACAATGAAGTAGTCCAGGCCTTGGGACCCTGGATGTGGGTTTAAAAGGAAGGACTACAACACAAGAAAATTAA